AAAAAAAAAAAAAAAAAGAATGGGCTGGAAAATATATAATGACCGTAAAATTGTATTGGGAAAAGCTTTCCCATAATGGAGAAAATATGACATTTGGTTAAGGGTAAGGATTCTTACTGTGATACTAACCTGACTGATAATACTCATGCCTAAATGAAATCTTATTGGATCCAATTATCTATTGTGGGTTTCCTACACCCCACACCTCCCTCTGGGCACTTTTTTCTTGGTGAGATACAGGATTTTCCTTTGTCTCTATCTTCTGCTCTACATTTAGACTAAAATAACATTAGAAAATGTAGAAATTTAGATGTTTAAGTTATTTCTCAACATTTATCTTACAAAGGTGTTTCCCTGTATTTTTGAAATAACTCCATGAAGAGTAAGTTAAAATTCTGCATCTACCTGAAGAATACATGTTTTGCTTAAAATAGTAGCTCTGTGAGCAGAGGCTCTTCATAGCCAAGTTGTAAAATTTCTAATTTCAGAAATCTTTCATATTCCAGCTTTTAAAAATATCTAGTCCTAGTCCTTGTGTCAGATTCTAAAATTTAAAGTTTCAGACATTTGATATTTATTTAAATGTTCATTTTGAGGCCCCTAAATCATTATAAGCTGCTGGAGGTTAGGAAACATAATTGTGTATCTCCTGGAGCTCCTAGAATAAAGTCTTGCTTGGAAGAAGCAATTTAATATTTTTGGATGTTGAATAAATGAACAGGGAAATGGAATTCTGTATAATGGAATTTGAAGAGTAACATAATATGCATAATATATAATAATTAAATGTGAATTTAATAAATAAGGCTTCAATTTATATTCCATTTTAGTGTTTAATATTTATAAACTCAAATGAATTATATTGAGGAAATCAGGAGTTACATAAGAAAGAAGGTTACAGTATATTTTTTAGTATCTTCCAATTGTGAGCTTAGAATTTTAGATAAAAATTCCTCAGCTTTTTTTTTTTTTTAAATCCCATCTTTATCCCATTAGATACATCCTTTGAAGGTATACATTTCTTCCTAGAATTCTCATTCCCAATTCTTTCTCCATATTGAACATTGATGTGTTGGGCACCTTTCTTTTTCTGTTTTTTGTTTGTCTAGTAATAATTTATAGCTTTTAGGAAGTGATAGATGACCACTAATTGAACAATTTATTTTATAGTGAAAAATTAAATTCTTTATTACAGTATTTATAACCAGATAACTGTAGAGTGATAAAAGTCAGTATTATTAGGGATATACTATGAATAAAAGCCTCTGTTTTACATATATGTTATATATATATAACTTAAAAAGTTTAAAAGAGACTATTGTTCATAGTATATTCGTAATCGTATTTATATACCTGTTGAAAAATATATGTGTTTTCCACTTACCTTTTTTTTTTCCTTTTTTTCCTTTTTTTCCTTGTGTTAATCTCATTCTTGATTGATTGCTCATATTTTATTTTTTTTCCTTATTTCCTCTTCTCCCCCATGCTTTTTTATGTATTTTTTATTTCTTTAAAGTTTATTTATTTTGGAGAGAGAGAGAGAGAGAGACAGAGTGCAAGCAGGGTAGGGGCAGAGACAGAGGGAGACACAGAATCCAAAGCAGGCTCCAGGCTCGGAGCTGTCAACACAGAGCTCATTGTGGGGCTCAAACACACAAACCGTAAGATCATGACCTGAGCTGAAGCTGGATGCTTAACTGTGACTGAGCCACCTAGGTGTCTCCCCCGCCCCCACCATGCTTTCTTTTAATGGTTTACCCCTACCCTAAATTTCTTTGCAGAAAACATTTCTTTAGTGTCTGTTCTTTTAGTACATCTCTTTCTGTCTCCATTGTCAACATATTTGGTTATGGCATCTATTGTCTGTGTGTGGTTTTCATCCATGACTCATTGCCCCACAAGGTTTATTATTCTTTTTTTCTCTTTATTGGGAGGAGCTGAACTAAATTTTGGGGTATTGTTTTTGTTTTTGGAAAGAGAGAGAGAGAATGAGCACGTGCTAGTAGGGAGGTGCAGAAAGAGAGGGAGGGAGAGAATCCCAAGCAGGTTCCGCGCTGTCAGCACAGAGCCTGACGTGTGGCTTGAAGCCCACTAACTGTTGAGATCATGACCTGAGCTGAAATCAAAAGTTGGTCACTTAACTTACTGAGCCACCCAGGTGCCCCAGAAGGAGCTAAATTTAAACAGTCATTTTTATCTTTAGGGTTTTGACAAACAGAAGCAACTTAAACTGTTTGCAATTCCAACTTACCTACATAAGATACTACTAAAAAGTAAATTTTTATATTTTCTTTTATAAGAGATAATTCATGGAAATATAAATCATGCAAATATTTCAAAATATAACACATTTAAATTTCTTAGTGTTAGTTTTTTAATATACTTTTAATTACCTAGGGATAAGTTTTTGTTTTAGGTTACTTTGAAAGTATTTGTGTAATAATCAGTTAGAGGTAAGGGAAGTAACATTTTGAGACTACCTATGAGATGTCTCGTAATCCTTATCACATGAGAAAATGTCGACTGGTTGTAGTAAATGGCATAACTGAGATTGAATCTACATTTGAATGATTCCAAAGCCTGTGTTCCTTGTGTAATGGTGCTCATTTGGTAATGGTGAATATTACCATTTTATCGAATTGGATTCTTGTAATCCTTAAAGCTATTAATTCTTTTCTAGAATGTCCCGAAACCAAGTGTAGCAAAGCTACTGCATTCTTCTGGGCAATTCATGAAAAACAGTAAGCTATTGGAAGACTTGTATTATTCACTAATTCTTGTCCATTCTTGTGTTATTCACTAATTTGAAGTTACAGATATTTTCATGTCCTCTTTTGTTTTCTACTAAGTGAGAGCAAAACGTGGCTCTGTGAAAGCAGAAGGTGGAACGTTATCTGAGGACAATAATCCTGATTCTGAAAATGAAGATGTGGGTGAAACTCTTTCCAAACCACCAACCAGAGATTATGGCGATTCTCTTCCTATTTTTCCATCAGCTAAATCTCTTCTAAAACCTTCTCTCAAGACGTTAGCTGTCCTTGGTCTTCCAAAGGTATGTTGTTTTGTTTTATTCCTCT